TAGATGAAATGGACGTAAATTTCCTTTTTTTTTTTTTTAAAAAAAAAAAAAAAAATTTAAATAAATTATGCATAAAAAATTTTTTTAGCTAATTTTTTTATAATTTTTTTATTATATAAAATAATATTTATATGTAATATTATATATTTATCAATAAATAACATATTCGATATTGAAAAAAAACTAAGGTGGTGGCGTGGTGCATTCTTCTTTAGTACTGTATATTAAAAGGTTTTGATCAAAAAATTTTTTCTGACAATATTTATTTCATATGTGATAGGATGACCAACGACTTACATATTTTATAATATTTTTTTATTTATACTTTAACTGAAAAAATAAATTTAATTAGATTAGAAGATTAATTTGCTTATTAAAAGCCTTGCTTAAAGCTATTAATAAAAAAATATTTTTGGGATTTTACCTATATGGTTTTATGCATGATAAATTATTCAGTTTAGTTTATATGAAATTTAGTACTAATCAATAGTAAAAATATCAGTATATTAAATTAACAGCGCCACAAATTTCTCTATGCATTATATTTATAACACATTAGAAAGAATAAATATGATTAAGCAAATTTATTTGACAAAATCTCGATGGTATAAATCTTATGGCCAGTAAGAAATGCTTATAAGTGGGAGAAATAACCAATAACAAATATAATGAAGCCGCTATTTGCGTCTGTTGATACAAATCGCAACCTATATATGAAGTTATGAAGTATTTAATTAACTCATTGACAAATTAATTTTTAATGTAAAAAAAAGATTAAGATGAAATTCTTTTTTTAGTAGATTAAAACCCGTGACAATCGTGACATGCCAAATATTCGTTACAGTAATAAAATTTTACATTAATCGGAATTTTTTTTTTTTAATTTTTTTTTGTCCGATTTTTTTTTCAAATATTTTTGGCTTTTTTTCCGAAAAAAATTTTTTCTCCCTTTTCTTCTTTCGGTTTAGTTTTTTTTTTCAAACCGAAAAATTTGCTTTTTCTCATTCATTTCCCGTTTAGATTTAATTTTTTTTTACCCAAACTGAAAAATTGCTTTAAATAACCCTATTTGTTTCGGTCTTTTAAGACTGATTTTTTTTTATATTATTTTTTTTCGATCTATTTTTTTAGACCGTATTGTTATTTTTTTTAAAAAAATTTTTTTTTTTTCAAGATTTTTGAATAAAGATTTTAATTCAAAATGGTTTTTAAATTAAATTAATAATTTATCGAGTAAAATGAGTATCAAAAGAATAATAATAAAATGAAATGAATAGATTCTAATACATTTAATTATTGTAGTATTTTCATAATATTAAAATTTTTTTCGAAAATACTTTCTAAAAAATCAATCAATTTTTATTGGTAATTATTTTTTCACAATTCCTTAAATTAATCCGAATTCATTCTATACTCAAACGTCAAATCATTAATTGGCAATCCGGATAAGATCGGCATAATTGATTTTGGGGATAAGGTACTTAATAAAATTACCAATAGTCTGAATCTACTGTGCACAGAAATAATTATAAATTCGAAGAATTGATTTTTTGAGCTTATAGGACCTTTTATATTTTAAGAAAATCTTTGAAAATTGGTCAAAAAATACTTAATTGTTATATGTACTTATGCAGTAAAATAAACCAATAATTGTATTTTAATATTTATGACTTACCTTTATACGCAGCTCAGATTCCAAAATGATAAAAATTCATAATAAATTTACCCCAAATTTTATTAATACGTTTATATATAGTGCCGATCTTATCGTCAATTAATATATATTATTACTAGGAAACGGGAACCGTTGTAAGTCCGGAGCGAGGTATAATAATAAAAGATGTAGCGATATTCTACTAATTAGCAGCATAACGCCTTGGAATTCCGGTAATTTTCTGCTGATTAGCAGCATAACGCCTTGGAATTCCGGTAATTTTCTGCTGATTAGCAGCATAACGCCTTGGAATTCCTGGACAGAGAAACTCACGTGATTGAAAATTTACACGTTATTTCCATAGATCATCATAGTGCGTAAACATATATAGTCCTTCGCTTCGCTCCGGACAATAACAAAAAACTTCTTTAATTTACTTAGTATTACATTATAATACTAAATTTTTCTATTTTTAAAAAAAAATTCATTGACCCATGGTTAAATTTGACGCTTAATCACATTAAAAATATGCCTTAAAATTGAGGAGGGAGGAAGGCAAGTTTTTTCAGGGTTTTAGGGGTTAAAAGTTTTTCTATTTAATGATTATTTCCTAAGTGTCTTGATAGTATTAGGATTTACTATAGAACGTCGAGTAAGGTACGCAACTGTAATAAAATTGTTCATCATTTTAGATTAGCCTTAACGTGATACACGTATTTTTTTTAATCGTCACTTTTATTTAACGTAAATGGGTGGTAATACTTTGACGATCCTGCAGAGAATACTTAATAACTTTGTTGTAATTAGTATCTTTATGTTGCGATGATTTAAAGAAATTTAAAATTGTAGTTGACAATAAAAAATGTAAAAAGATTTTTTAGTACATTAATTATGAAATGTTATCTTTAATAAAAACAAAATTCGGTAGTTAAAGTTTATCCTATTGTCAATAACGATTGTTTAAGTTAGTTTTTTTCTTTAGGTGGTTATTGGAATTATTATTCACTATGACGTCACAGGTATTCTTTCTTGGTAAGTTGGATGATTTGTAACCAAATAATAATGGTTTAACTTGTTATATAAATAGTTACGTTCATTATGTTAAATTGCTTATTAAAGTTGGTTTGTTGATTACAATATTAAGTATTAACCTTGCTGGAAATCGTAATCTGTGCTTGGTATTATAAGAACCTCCTTTATCACTTAAATACTTGTTAAAGAGGTTCCTCATACAACACACTTTATCTTATAAAAGGTGAAGAAAAAAAGATGGGTTTTTAACCATATTAATTCAAATATTTTTGTTTAAAACCTCGTATTATCAGTAATATTCCGTTAAATATAGATTGTATAGAATTTATTAGGTAGTTTAAATAATTTAGCACATGACTCATATGATTTAATTAAATTTTTTTTATAAAAATAAATATACTTCTTTTTTACAATTATTGCATTAAATTGTAAAAAGTTAAATAAAATTAATAAAATTAGAATATTTAATATTTTTATGATAATATTATTTTATTGAAAATAATTTAATATAGTTGCTTAATTGTTGGTAAAACTGATAATCTTGTTCTCTTATACTCTTGGAGGTAATTTTTTGAGAACGCTTTCAAACTTTATCCTGATATGATCGTCCATTAAAAAGATGTACTAAATATAAAAAGTTGTATCGAAAAGATTAATGATTATATAGTACGTCTAAAATATTTATTCTAACCACTTATAGTTTATACTACATCTGTGAATTTTTGATGATGTAGTTTATAGTAAATAATTAATTATGCCGATAATGTGATGACTGTATTTAAGACGTGGGTTTATACGCTTCATTCTCATTACTTTGGTTTTATAAACATAAATCCACTTAAATCTTAATTTGATTACATAATTAATAGTTAATTATAAAACAAAACTTGATAATTTATATAATAATTGAATAATTTATAACATAAATATGAAATGAATTATTTAAAATTACAAACTAAGAAGCTTTTGTAAGATAACTTTATATTTTTTTATTTTTTTGAATTATTTTAAACACTAAGACTAGAGTAGTAAAGAATACTTTTAATATCAATCATAAAATATTTTATATAATTCGTATCTAAATATCTAAAAAATTAAAAAAAAATCAACAAATTAGATTTAAAGAATAAATAATATCTAAAATATCATCATTTAGAAAATTTTTCTTTACCATCAGGAATTTCTAATTCATCTTGTTCTTCTGAATGAAGATTTGGATTATTATGTACTTCATCTTCATCTATAAAATAAGAACATAAATCATTATTATCTGTTATGTTATTTATATAAAAGCAAATTTTACCATACCATCAATACAAGAATGATGCTTCATTGTTTCTTTATTATTATAATCTTCTCGAGAATCTAAATAAATAATTAAATAAATCGTACTTAATAAAACATGATTAGTATGTTATATTAAATATTTTACTCACCATTTTTTATTTGCAATTTTTTAAACATTTTGGAAAATTTTTTACTATTAACTACAATAAATTTTTGAATATATAATTAATATTCTTTCGCTAATATGTAATTTATAAAATAAATTTAATAATTACCTTTAAAAATACTGCTTATTTTTTTTGACATACTGTTATTCTTACTACTACTTGATTTGGCAAAATCATTAACTAAAAAATCAAAAATAAAATTAATTAAAAAGCTCTACTATAAAAAATTTATTGTAAATTCAAATTTAATAAATACTTACTGCTATTAGGGATATAAAATTCATCATAAGATTTGCTATGAAATGCTAAAAATTTATAAAAATAGTTAACAACCTGTAAATAAATTTGGTATAAAAAATGGTTCAATTTATACCTTCTTGTTCTTCTGTTGTTTTTTAAATAAAAATAAAAAATAAAATATATTATATTAATTATTAGTAATTGAATTAGTATCTAATATGTGATAACATACCTTCTGTTGCATTCCTTGGTTCAGGAAAATTTTCAAAATTATGAAGTTTGCTACTTGTAAATAATATGCTGCTTGTTTCTTTTGATTCTTCTAAGCTATCTGTTTCATTTATTTTTAAATTGTTATTTTCTTCTAATTCATTTGGCATATTCAGATATTTTTTATAAATTTCTTTTATTTTTTTCCGAAGTGTTTCAATGTCAGGTCTTTTCAATGGATCAGCCTCCCAACATTGTTTCATTAAATTTTTGTATTCTAAAGGAGTTCCTGATACTATTCTTGGTCTTATACCATTAATTATATTCATTGCAAGATAATAATCATGCTCATAATTATTAAAAGGTGGTTTTCCAGATGAAATTTCCCACATAAGCATTGCAATACTGTAAATATCAGATTTAAAAGTATATTCTTTTCCAGCAATAACCTCAGGTGCTATATAAGGAAGATTTCCATATATACTTTTTGATGATTTGTCTGCAGGACCACAAAATCCAAGATCACTAATAAAGAATCTTTGATTAATTTCTTTGAATAATATATTACCAGAATGTAAATCTCTATGGATTGCATTTTCATCATGAACTTCATTGAGTGCAGTAGTTATGTAATAAGCGAATTGAATTTTTCTTTTCCATGTAAGTTGATTATAGTTTTTCTGTAAATATTCTCTTAAATTTAAATCCATTATATCTATTACAAGCATGTAATTTTCATTTGATGGATCTTGTGTTAAGCCATAACATCGGACAATATTTGGATGTTTATTGCTTATAGTTAAATGTGATTTTGCCTATAAAAAAAAAAAGAATTATTAATTAATTTATCACTAATAAGATAATTATCAATTACTGATTCATTAGGTTACAAACCTCTTCAAACCAACTTTGATCTGCACTTTCAACATTTTCTAATCTTTTAAGTAATACAATTTGATTTACAAATCTTGTTAATTGCTGCTTCATAGTATCCAATTCATCATATCTTCCAACATACCAAACTGCTGTGTAAATTTCAGAGAATCCACCTTTTGTTAGATATTTAATATTTTGCAAATTATCATATGGAATCCATTCAAATATTTTTTCTGGTTCAATTGTTTCCATTTGACATTTTTGTATTAAATTATCAATATCATTATTTCCAGATGTCCAATTTAAAAAATTTAATTTTAAATAATTTCGAACACAATATTCACAATATGATATGGCTAAACATTCTTGGTTACAATTTTCACAAATTCTTCTTGTCCCTTTATTAAAAAGAACTTTATTTTTATCAACAATTTTAATTATTCTTCTTATTGCTTCATTTTTTTCATCATTTGTAAAAGATTTATCAGCAAGGACCGTTTGTTGTATAAATTCATGTTGTTTGTCTATATCATTATGAATATTATAATCTATTAATGCAATCGCTCTACTAATTGCCACATTAATTAGTTCCTCTCGTATAACAGACATAACAAAATATTTCTTTTAATTTTGTTGGAAAGAAGGGTTTCAGAACGGAGTTTCATGTACCACCGCCTTTTGATCAACAAATTTGTATCACATGCTACAACAAACCTAAATTCTATGTAGCACAGCATCATTAGGTTATAATTTTTGCATTACATGTAAAATGTTCAAAATAAGTACAAAATTGGAAAATAAAATAAAAAAATAAAATCATGCAAAAATTTTTGATATTAACTTAGGTATTTTGTTTAAACTTATGAATTCAAACTTCAAAATTATTTATTATAATTTAGAATCATTATACCCATTAACTTAATTTTAAAACAGTTTAACTATAAAATATTAAACTGAATTTACAATTTATTAATTTATAATATTAAATAATATTTATTTAAAACTATATGAAATATGTTTAAATTTTAAGTAAAAAAATCTACATATACATATTTTACACATTTACATAAAATCCATGTTGGGTCTATTAAAATTATATAAAATAGTGTATATAAATATTATACATGAACTCTTGTTATTATGAAATGATTTATGAATACATTCTAATCTCAATATATGAAAATAGTTTTCATCATTATATATATTAAGGAAATAAAATTTGTGCACACCCGCGCATGTGCGCACCCTCCATTTTTGGTAATTTTTATATAGTAAATTTGTCGATCATTAATTATCACATGACTTTAGTAAAATCCCGATTTTTTTAAATATTCATGCTGCAACTCTTACGTACATACTATGGAGCCTTAAAATTTATTTGCTATGCGTATTTTTGCCCATTCTACAACTTTACTTAATGAGCCATGAAGGGTTTAGAATGTCATTTTGACTTTTATATATAATATATCCATGGAGTGCACACATGCGCAGGTGCGCACAAATTTTAAACCCATATATATTAATATATAAAAAATACACCTGACCTTGAACGCAAAACTCCTGATTTTGATTGGTCAGAAAGTTTCAGCAGTCGCTTCAAAATTATTTTATCGCTTAATTATGCGTTGCCAAAATAACAATATGTGAAAAGTTCATTACAACAAACCATACGATTTAAGTTTTCTATACTTCTATTAAATTCTTGAATATACCCTGGAATAACTTTTAGGATAATACAATTTTCTTCGTACAATTCTTTATTGAGTTGATTAGATTCAAAAAAAAAATCATAGTAGGTAAAAACTAAGGTAAAAAAATGAAATGCCCATACTAAATATGATCTTAACAATTCCCGTTATTAAGTTAATTATTAGTGTCACTAATAAGAATTTAACAATTTTAATTATTAGTATAATAAATAATAATGTTTGTATTCATAATTCATAAAATTTTGAGTATAAATGTATATATCTTTGGTACAATACGAATTAAGCGTAAAATTTCCTACAATCTCCATGCGAAAGCTAGGTTACAAGAAATCTCTTTGACAAAATGAGTAGCAATCGGATCTATTACATGGGTTCTATAGCTACCGTTTACGAATTTACGATTATTATCTAGTGAACTAAAAATGATTCTTTAACAAAAATATTATTTTTCATTCGACAATAACCATCCATTTTATATGGATATTATGCAAACACAATAGTATAACTGATCGTTGAGCTTTTGATCGCAAATTGATCGGTTTGGAGGTGGGATCGGTTCGTTTATTCTGAAGTTGGTCGACTAAAAAAATTTAAATAACCACCTTTAATTTCAATTTGAACGATCCGGCTCGTTGAAGTCGGTTCGGAGTCAATTTTGTTTCATTTTTTAAAGACCTTAAGATTAATAACAGATAAGCTCAGAAAATAATAAATTTAAAGTACGCAGCTAACATCTTAATCTGTTTACTGGTTACACAGTTTATCAATTGATTAAACTTTAATTAGCAAATGTTCAAGTTTTCCGTGTGGCTCAATATATATATATATATATGTCTGTGTCTAATCCTAGATTCTATTGCTTAATCATTTTGTGTGTCTGTATTTTTTGTAAATATTTTAATTTTAAATGAATCATGAATTAATTGTGCATAAAGAAGGCACATTTGTATAAATAAAGTATATATAGAACCTAAAATTAAGATGTAATTGTTAAGGAATAAAGTGATTAATATATTATCTTCTTATTTATTCAATTAAGAATAAATTTACATATCGGAAAACATACACATGTATTTCTTTACGTTAGCATAGCAAAGAGATATCGTCATAATTTAATTTGAATATAACAATGCAACTTCGTACTTGTTGCACATTACAACAGTTTTAAAGTAAATACAACTGCAAGTTTTAAACCAGAATTTTTCATCAATATTAGATTATTGGTATTCTTATATGGCTAGCGATCCCTTATATAAAATCTGATTGTCACATGCATGTTTGTGAATTAATAATATATCGGCAAATTATTTAGCCGATTGTTTCCAAAAACAAAATTCCAAATATTTCCAAATATTTACATATAAAAAAGGATGTCTCTAGAATATTTAAAATTTTCGCAACGCATCATGCAAAATTGTGATTTTGAACAAGTTTCTAACGATTCTAATGGTGCATAAAATATTTTATTTATTTATTTGTATGCTTTTAAGTTCAATATTTTCTTGCTTAATGAAATAAGCAATAATCATGTGGTGTGCAATTTATCCGAATGACAAATTTGTACTTTCTTTAATTATTTGTAACTCTTTCTTTAGAGGTTCAAGAGGATACGGATGACTTGACGACTGAAGATTCAAGCGACTTAGCTAATTGTATTAATGGATTGTACCGATTGTTGGATTTATGTAATGATATTGAATCAAGCGGAATTGGTAAATTTAGTTAAGGTCAAATTACTGGAACATTCTGTAAAGCAACATTAATTTTCATTATGTTTAATATCTTAAAGTGGACAAGATAATTATTTCCAAGGAATATTTAGGGAAGCTATGCAATGATATGGTCCAATCAAGTTTCAAATCTATTTCTGAAATTAATTACTCGGAATTAAATTCAATCTCATTTCGTCTTATTGGATGTTATGGAAATCGCATTTTGATCGCAAAACTCTTGTTGAATAAAAATATAATTGATCAACAATTGTAAATATAAAATTTCTTTCGTTGTAATAATATTATTATATACGAAAAATAGTTAATCTAAATTTTTTCTTACAGGTATAAATTGCTCACAACTTCCAACTTGCTACTTCCAGGAATTTACTTTTTAAAAGTGAATTCTAATTTTGGTTTAATTATTCATTGGCCTGAAATTGGATGCTATGAAAATTATTTAATTACTCCTTTCCAGATTAAAAGGAATATGGTTAATTTACATAGGTGCTGATTCTTTCTTTTTGAGTTGAAAATTTAGGGTTTTTATAATTAATTACTCATTTGAATTTTTAATCAGATATTTAACAAAACTCACCGATCATCAGATCTGTTTAATGAGCGATGAAGATTTGAAAGGCTTAAACTTAGGCAAAATTGATGATACAGATGATTCAGATGATTCAGATGATTTAGATTACGAGTTTACAGTAAAAAGAAGTCAAGAAGAAAAGGAAGATTTTAATATTGATAACGGCTTTAAGGTTTTATTTTTTTTTAAAATAAATATCTTATATAACTTAAAAGTCAACAATAATTTATATAATAATTTTATCTTATGAAGGTGAATTTGCCAAATAACATTAAGACCGAAATTAATAATCAAAATGAAGGTGACATCCCGTTATATCCAATAGGTACGCTTTAAATTGACTTAAGTTGAGCTTGCATTATTAATAAATGTTAAAAATATCCATTTTATTTTTAGTTGTTGAATCTACTACAAATCAATCATTCGTCACTCGACAATTGATAAAGGGAATTAGGCATTCAAAGATTGTCCTTGCGCGAGTTTCTGTAGAAAAATTTCCAAATCATCTTAAAACAAAACTGCAAGGTCGATATTTACGTATTGATCGTAATAAGATGGATATATATGCACTAGAATTGTTTATTAAACACGGATTAGGAATGGAAGAATCTTTAACTCCACTGTATGACGCAATTTCTACCGTTAAAGATATCGAAATCATTCAAAAAATGGCAATAATAAAACTACATGATTTTGAAAGGTGCGTATATGAATTAATATTTGCTTTAAAATTTATATATGTATTTATGTTATCATTAAATAAATTTCTATGTATGATATATATATATAGTATTTTTGATAAATATATTATTCGGGATAATTGTCTATCACGAACAAACATTAGCGATACGGGTAAATATAATGTCAATCATTACAATCTTTGAAAAACAATATTTAAATATATATTTGATTATGTAGACCTCGAAAGAATTCGAACGAGGTATCCTGGAATAGAATATCAAATTAAAAAAATGATTAAAATTGACTCAGAAAATTGGGAAAAAATGAAAACAAAATATAATTTATCATGCATCGTTATTAATAAAATATTGAAAACAAATGAATCAGAAGATGATGATGATACAGATGAAACAGATGAAACGAAAAAATTCGCAATAGAAACCTTTTATAATATGTTCACTGATATTGAATCTGACTTAAACAAATTGCTTGAAAAATATACACAAAATAATTGGAGTATTTTTAATGTTTTTAAAACTTCGAATATTTATAAGGCAGAACAAATGACCAGTAAAATGTCAGATGAAGAATTTATTGATGAACTCATGGAATATGAATTATTTGAAGGATATGAAGAAATTAGAGAAAATATTATAAATATTTTTATTGAGGAGTATCATAAATGGAAAAACAATCAAGTAAATAAATTAAAGCGAGAATACGAAGAAGAAAAGAAAATAATTGAGAAAAATATGTTTGGACAAATATGTAATGAAATAGAAACTAAATATAAAGATGGCGGGTGAGTTAAGTTCTCTTTTATAATTGCCCCTTATTTATATTAACTAATTATTACGATTTTATTCATTTTTGTAGTTCCATGCGATTATATCTATTAAATGTAAAAAGTAAATTGTTTATGCCTGTTATTGTGTTTATTTTGTTTAAATAAATTTTTTAGCGAATCAGGTTTTAATATAATTTTTTTCAGAAAATGAAGAATCTTTCACGATTGAATATGATATCGAAGAGCTTCAACCAGATCAACTGCAATTAACGATTTATGAAACATCATTAAAAGTAGATACCCCATCTCCAATTTTACTTAATCAATACGGTACATCATTTCGCATTCCTCAAGTCTATGACTTTAAGTAAGAATTTGAATAATTTTTGTAACTTAAAATAAGATATTTAAGAAAAAAATAATATCTAATATCATTTTTATAATTATAGAAAAATATCTCAATTTGATAATTGTAAATTTCTTCTTATGCTTTACAATAAAGATAACAAAAGAATTGAAATATTCTTTAATACTGCAAGACAATTAGCACAAAATTTTAAATCGCATTCGACTATTAAACCATTTAAACTATTGAATACAGATGAAAATTTTATTATTGCAGTTAATGAACCAAAAGGGCTTCTCGCAATATATAATACGAAAGAAGTTAAGGTATTTGATATAAGTCCCTAGTTTATTTTAATTTTGTAATGCATTTTTTCGTCTAATTTATTTTTTATATAAAAAATGTAACATTAGCTTGACGTATTTTCTTTTGGCGATAATCGATCAAGGTTAAATCGATGTTATGCAAATATTCAATTATTGCAATGGTATAGTAATATACCGAGCATTAAATATTTTCTGTTCATCAAAGACACTGAGAAACTTTGCTTTGTCGAGAATTGTGGTCGAGCACGTATTTTTAATATCATGTATCCTCAATTCCGAGTAGATTGTAAGTTTCCGTCTAATCTAGTGAATGTTTTAAGTTCCCCAGATGGTTCTTATATTGTGGCATTTACGAAAGAAATATTGAAAGATAAATCTGAAGAATTTGATTCAATTATTTCTACTGATGATAAAAAACAACGTGACTATAATAATGGTATTAAGGAGATAAATCGTGTTTACGTTTATTTTTCCGGAGAATATGGAGGTCCTGTTAATAAAGGTTCATAATTTAAATTTTCTTTTGTATTATTAAAAGTTTATGAATTTACTAATATTTATTTTCTTTTATTTTTCAGTTATTGATTTACCATTAAATTTTAAATTCTTGGAGTTTCTTCAAATTTCCTGTATCGATAACCAACAAACTCATTTGATCTCACTCGATTTAAATAATGGATGTTTTAATTCTTTATTATTGGTCCATAAGAAGATGATATATCGTTTCCAACATTACAAGCGAAATCGTTCACTTGCGCTTCAGAGAACAAAATCAAATGATCTTATCAATCCTTATAAATTAATGTTTGAAAAATATCCAATTGATAGCTGTATCGATCCTGAACAAAGTCGCCCTCTTAGTTTAAAAGTAGTTCTTGATATTGATGAAAGCGGCAACATTGAAAAATATGGCGAGAAATTTGAAAAATATACTACTAAAATATTTGACAATTTAAAGCGTTTGACAAAGAAGCCTGCAAATATATTAAAGAAATTTTCTACATCAGTTATGACTTTTCAAGAACTTGATATTGAAAATGTGGAATTTCAAAAGAAATTTTCATCAGAATATCAGTTAGGAGAATGGATTATTCAACTTTGTTGTCTAATTCCTATACAAATTGCTGTAGCAAGAAACAACTTATTTCAGCCACTCAAGGATGGATTATCTTCGGATGAAAACCATCTAATTGAACTTGGAGATGATCGTCGTCATGTAGAAATTATATCAAAAAACATATCTTTTGGATGGTATGAGGGAATCTTCAAGCATTTTAGTAATAAAAAAGTAAAAATTATTTCAAGCATGGGTGAACAATCATGTGGAAAATCATTTATGTTAAACCATCTTGTTGGAACTACATTTGATGTGCCAGCAACAGTATGTAAGGTATGTAGTATATCTTTTTAAATTTTTTAAATTTTTTGATTAATTCTAAATATTTACTAACTTGTTTTAGCGTTGTACTGAAGGAGTATGGATGTCATTAGGTAGGGTTTAAACTTTTTTTTTACTCCATCAAAATACATTTTATTAACTTTTTATATTTATAGTTAATACAAAAGAATGTATTTATGTCGCGCTCGATTTTGAAGGATTAAGATCTTTTGAAGGAACTTCACAAGAAGGCATGTGCTAAAGTGTATCTACAAATTATCTATTTATTTATCGTGATCTAACTATATTTTGCCAATTAATAAATTCTTAGATATGTTTCTAACACTCTTTAATACAGTTGTTTCAAATCTTGTTCTCTATAATAAAGTAATTATATTAATTATACTGTTGTATTATATTATTTGGCTCTTGCTTTGTATTTTTACTAATATGATCAATAAATTGTTTAATTACAAAAGAATAAATACACCATAAATAGAGATGCAAAAATGTTTCAAAACTTACAAGCTGGCGTAAAGTTATTTGAGTCGGATCCAAAGGTAAATCATAATTATGATATAATTAAATATTTAAACCCAAACATTGCATATTATTTATTATTATTTTTCAGGTAAGACTCTGTATTATCATTAAAGACGTGCCTAAAGCAGATAAGGATGGTATTATTAACGAGCTTCAATTAAAATTGGAGAAATTAATTGCAGAGGTAATTAAAATAAAAATTATATAAACAGTGTATATCTTTAAAAAAGCTAATTTAAGGTTTTAGGAAGGAATAGATAATTTTATTACAAAAATGTATGGAGATGAATTAAATATTATGGCTTTGCCTGATTTTCATGACGTAGCATGGTTTGAAAGGCTATCAAAAATTAAAATGCTGCTAGATAGAAAAGAAACAAAATATGACAATGCCAAAACTTTCTTGCAAAATACGAAAGTAATCATGGCTAAATTGAAGGTTTGTAAGCGCTATGTCTAATGATGAGTATTCTTTTTCTTTAATTTTTACATCTTGAAATTTAGATATGTGATTGGAGTTCATTAAACGAAAACCTCATACATATACGTGTTGCAACTTTAAAAAGATTACTTCCAATTGCTGTATCTTATGGTATAGAGCAAAAAGATCCCGTTATTATACCTCTTGTGGTAAATACACTCTTTTGTTATAATGAATATAGCGTATATAACTCTTAATGAGAGATATGTGTATCTAATCTATTCATTCCAATAGAATCATGATTCTGAAGAACCAATTTATGGCCCAATTGATTTTTTGAATGATGGAAACCCAATTAAATTGTTTCCAGATATCAATGATGATGTTGATGAATTTTTCATCCAACTTTCCGAGTATTTAAGAACCCATTTCGAGACAACTAAACAATCACGAAAAGAATCATCTGATGATAATGAATGGTTTTCTAACTTTGATAGATTCTTAAAGGATATTATTAAACGTCGAACTTCACGTGTTAAAAATTGGTATTTGCAAAATACTGCCAAATTTCCACAAGATAATAGTGACATAACTGATGGAAGATATGCATTGAATCAAAAAATAGATGAACTTACACGTCTATGGACTTTGTGTGGATTAACATGTTATCAATGTGGTTTGAAATGCGTGAAAAATCATGATCACAAAGAAAATCATGACTGTTTAACCGATCATAAGTGCCATTTTCCTTGTCACTTTAGTGAAGCCCACAACGACAATCCAACCCCAGAATGTAAACACAAGGCTGGACATAAAGGAAAACATGCTTGTGCCAAAATGATTCATTTATGTGGTAAAACATGTTTCCTTATTGGCAAGTTTAACTGTCAAAAATTTTGTTCTAAGAAATTTGGACATGATGATGGCGAACATTTATGTCAATCAAAACGTAATCATTATTGTGGAAAAGATTGTTCATTATCAATACACAACACAAAAGGAGATTATCGTTGCCCAAATAAATGTACTATATCATATAAAGAACATCATTATTTTCATCGTTGTGAAAATACAACTTGTCCAATTCAATGTCCAATTCCAGATTGCAAGGAAAGATGTCAAAGTGATGATCACTTTCATGCTTTTTCTGACTCACAGCAAGTTAATCATTTTTGTGGGTATGTACTATACTCTTATAATTATTTTCATTATTTTCTTTCTGAATGAATGTTAATTAATTAAAAAAATATTTTTGATTAAAGGAAAGAGCATCAATGTCGTGAATTATGCGAAGAAGATGGTATATGTAATGTGGTGACTGAACCTAAAAAGCAAGAAGAAACTTATAAGGGTAGAGTCGAAGGAACTGTTATTACATATACAAAGGTACAATTTTAATGTATAATGTTAATAATATGATAAAATGTATTAACTCTTAAGCCTTTGATAATTTATTAAAAATAGTATATTCAATTAAGTGAGAAATTAAAATGTAATAAAATGATTCCTCCGAATGAATTTGAGCATGCTGGAAAACATACGCATAATGAAGATCACTATTGTGATAAAAAATGTCAGTTCTGCGAATATTATGTATGTATCTCAAGATTTTATGTTTAATTATATAATTTCATTTTTTGTCGATTACAATATAATATTAAAAAGACTAAATGAAATTAGTGTACATTACCTTATGGACATCCGCATTTTCATGACACAAGACATGGTATAAATATGACACAAACTGAATTCACAGGAGATGAATTTGTATATGCAGGGTATAGTATATAAATCATTAAGGAAAAATCTAGTAAATATGATGTTTTGTTTTAATTAAAATGTCTATTTGTTTGATACAATTTAAGAGTTAGTGATCAAAAAACGTTTGTTCTTTGCAATTTAGTAAGTATTACACTAATATAGATTTATAATAATAATAATATATATTAATTTTCTTTCTCTGTATTAGTTTTGTAAAGATTTAGGCAGACATCGCCATATTGATTATTGCCAAAATGATGAAAATTGCGAACTGAGCCGGGATATGCAACACATCAATGGTAATTTATAATTCTTTTTTCATTAAATGAACTTATTTACATATTACCGTTGTTATTCTTTAATCAGTGAAAGTTTCGCCTAATCCTGATAAGCCAAAAGATTTTATTTCTCACAAACTTTTCTGGGAGCGAACAGGCTTCAAAGGTATAAAATACATAAAAAGTTCATCAGTACCCCCCTAATAAATATGCTTTATGTATATTTAAATTGTTTTATTTGACATTAGACCCTCATACTTGTCAAGAACAACAAGAATTTACAAAATGTGATCATCAATGTCCCGATAAAAAACATAAATCTAAATCATCATTTTGTGAATTACAACTTTTCCATGCCCCAATATCAAAACCTCCAAATGATTATGGATATGTATCTTCAGATGGGCATTATTTTAATTGTGAAAAACCAAATACTCCTTTTCACATTATCTTTGTTTTGGATTATTCAAGTTCTATGACTAAGCAAGATATTAAACCGATTCAAGACTTTCCAATTTATAATGATTTAACAAAGAAGCATAATAATAGGATTGGCGCAGTTTATCAAGCGGTAATATTAAATGATATTCAATTAACCAATCCAACCTTAGTTTTCGTTAACTAGATTTACTATTAATATAGGTATACTTATTTATGAATGCACGTAGAAATTCCACTATGACTGATAGAATTTCATTAGTCTTGTTCAACCATAAGGTATTCTGTTTTACACTTAATGATATTTAAATTTGAACTCATATTTATTCAAAAGATATACTCTAATCATCGATATAATCTAGACTATAGTCCCATTTGAATATCAAGATTTAACAAATCTGAAAGATTTGTTAAATTCAATGCTCCAATACGAAGCTTGTGGTTTAATAAATTTTGATAGTGCAATTCAGAAAGCCGGAGTTTTGATTGAAACTCACTTTGATCCTACAAAGTACGTTCATTTGAATAAGTTAAATACATTAACTATTTTGTATAACTTATTTATTTATAATTTTATTTTAGAGTAAATGTCATTATATTCTTATCTGATAGAGAATGCGGAACTCCAACAAATCAACTTAATGCTATTTGTAAACAAAATAAAGAAAAAGGGTAATTAGTTTATTAGTTATTTTTTATTTTTTTTAGATTAAAATTCATTTAATGACCCTATTTTTTAAAAAAATCTTTGAAAATTTCAGTTCTCCGTTATACCTGTATACGGTATTATTTGGTAGTGATCGACATAGTAACTCTTTAAACAAAATGGCAGAGATTGCACAATCTTATCATCCACAGAATCCATCATCCAAAAATGCTCTACGATGTCAATTTACTAGTACTGCTGATGCGGGCAAATTAGCGAATTATTTTAATTACGTAGAAGACAGTTTAAGAAATCATGAACCAGCTTCATTGAAGAAAGTATAATAAGTATAATATGGGATAAATCAAGTTAAAATTTCCAATTCTTATTGTTTTGAGATTCTTATTAAATTATATATATATGTCAAATGAACATTATTTAGTAAAATCTTTTGCAGGAATTTATGTACGTATATTTATGATTTATAAAGTATGATATTGTTAAGAGATTAGAAACTATCGAAATATAGCCTGGCTGCTATGGTGTAATCTGGCGTAATGTTGTAATGACATAATTTTTTCTTGCTGAATGCTATAATCGTATAAAATGTGTATCACAATTATCTAAAAAATTGCTGCCGTAATTGTTTTCCCATTTAAAACATTATTATATTATGAAAAGAAGGAATCTAATAATAATCATATTTTGATTATGAATTTGTTTAATTGTGAATTTCAAATTAAAATTTGAATATACTATTAATGCATGGAATAGTATGGAAACTAGTGAGGATATGAGTTCATAATAGCTTCTATCTCTACGAGTTAACTCAAGTCAAAGTCAGTCAAAGTCATAGTGCGGGCCATTTAAGCAGGGATCCATGAATGTATCAAACTTTAACATTCTCTGATATTAAAGATAGAGCACCAAATCATAGCACTTTATATTTTGAATACAAACAAGGATGCTTGTAAAATTACCTTGTATCTCCTCTATTATTATTGAGTCAATAATAATCATCGACAAATTAATTTTGGAACGGTTCACGTTCTTTACACCTAAGGAAAATCAAGATATTAGCACAATACATGTTCTTCCCTCCTAAAGCTTCTATAAAAATAAATGATTATTGATTTGTTTGTTTATTTTTTTAAAGTTAATTAAAATATATATAGTATATAGTGTGTGGATGCTGTCTAGGTTTAGGTAACATATTACCAATTTTATTCAACAAATATTGATACCATACAGCATACAATGTAAAATAAAATAATGAATCTTAGCTAAAAAGGGTATAGTCATATTTATATGCTTTTACAGTAATGTATTCTGTTACGAGAGTTTGACATGACAAATTGGTTATTATTTTTCATTAGTATTAATGTGCCAATTTATATTATTTTGTACACAAAAATATTACATGTATTAAAAAAAGTTATGCCTTACGGTGTCTGGTCCAATGATCTTTCAGAGTCCAGTAACGACAATTTTAGCATAGTCATGTGAATTTTGGTCCAGATCATCGGTCCAGTGATTCGCTTAAAATCCAATTTGTTATCAAGCTTGATTTACACGATTTTTTTTTTTGCTGTTCGCTTTATTAAAAAAAAATTTTTTTTTTTACTATTAAATATTTAATGAGATAATGGTTTTAGTAAATGATATAGTATAAATTGCTAGAAACCTCTTGTTTCAATAAATTAAGATGCAATTAATTTTTGTTATAAGTTTTTAAACATTTTATTGTATAAAAAAATGTTTATTTAAATCTACATGAAGAAAAAAAATAAAATGTAGATCGGTCATGTAGATTTAGTTTTATGACTGTGCTAAAAATTGATATGACTGGATTCAGAAAGATCATCAGACAGACTCAATAAAGATATACTCGTCGTCTACCCCCTTTACTTCATTTCTCTTGAGTCAATATCTTGATTTAAGTGTTTTATTACGCTTTTCTATGGTATTCATTTTCGGTTTCTTTTTAATTATATTCCCATTTTTTCGTCTATTTTTGGTTGATTCTTTTATCTTTTTCATCTATACTTTCTCTACTTTTGATTTTGTTCATTTTCCCCTTTGTTTTTAACCTTGTTTTCAATTTGGTTCATTTAATGATCTTGTTTATTTTCATTTCATTTTTGCATTTTTTTATTTCTCCATTAGCTTTAAAATTATTTTTGGAGATTTGTAACCAAAAAATTCTTCCGCTCCTCCTGTAAAAATATTTCCAATAAATTCAGTACATTTTACACTTTTATAATTTAACAATAAAAAATAAAAATATTTTAAAAAATTTTTACCAATAATTAATTCTTGAACTCTAAATTACCCAACATATGTGATCATATAAAATACAGATATTTCCGTTAGTGACGATCATTAATGTTTAGCTGTCCACCGCTCTATATTAACTATCGATCGGTTTACCCTGGCGGTTAAAAATTTTTGAGATGTATCAAAGAACCTGTTAGTTAAAGGCAACGTATGCAACTTTTACTAATTTTTGACTTATAGAAATATGCAAAGACATTAAAAAATAATGGAAATAAAGAATCCCGTTTTACAAATCATGTAGGATCATGAAATTTCTGAGTTCATCAACTCTTAAAAAACCATTTGGTTATAGACTTATAGTGAAGTTTCCATCCTTTGGAATTAGGAGATCAGAGTCCATAATATCTATAGAGTCTGCATAATTACCTGATCTTTTCATGTCTAGGATCCAAAAATGTACACCTAGATATGGAAATCAAAGAATGGCAACAGAAATAAATGGAAAAGATAATTTGTTATTAAAGTGAATAAAACAATATTTATGATACGTCAATCTATCTCGGTGATTTCATTTACCGTTAAATAAATAATTTCAAGCATTAAAGGATTTGACTTAATAATGTATTTAGGTCTCTCGCTATCAATTCCAATAAAGAAAAAAGAGAATCAAACTTCTCTATTACCTGAATAAATTTAAAAATAATTAATATCATTAAATATTTTTCACATTGTAAGTTTGTATCATTTATGGTCATAATTAACTACATCAAGCAATTGATATCGGAGTAGTATATTCAAACTATCTTCAAGAATACAAATACAAATACCTTCACTTCATATTCACCACTGATTAATTTTTCTTGAAAATCTCAATATCCATTAATTTTATAAAGATTTCGTAAATTTATATAATTGATAATCTCTAGATTGACGGTTATGAAATAATGGGCGTCTTGTAGAATGAAGATAGAAAAGATTTATTTTGTGAATTACAGCGGAACTTTTGTTATGAAAAGGTAATTTTGAATTCTTGTCTCTCAGTAAAAATTTACGTTTAATAAATACTCTCATTAAATTATTTTAGTACGAGAAAAATGTTTGAATTTTTAAAAGGCGCTGTCGTGCTACACCAATTAAGGGAAGTTCATGCAGATCTTTTTTTTCATTGATCTCTCAGATATAATATGTCATAATAATTTTTGGACATGCTAACGAAATTATGAAATTATGACGTGTTGATTATGATACAAACAATATAAATCTTATCACCATTCTTTTATGATTACAACATTTATGTTAAGTCTATTTTCATTTAAAGAAATCTCATTGTTGAAAGATGGAGGTTAAAAAACTTTTACATCATCACTAGATCGTCCTGTTGAGACGAATCAAATAGAGGCATTTTATATCTCCGAATTATTCCATTTAAATATTTATATGTTATGTACTTAAATAAAGTTAATTTGGTTTAGTGAAGACAACAAAAAAAGTTACCATAAATTTTCAAACTTGAGGAATTAAGATAAGCAATTTTCTTTGTTTGTTGTTAATGACACCCACCCAAGATTCTCAATTTTGAACTATTTGTAATCATTCATATGTTATAAGAAATTTGTATTATTTTTCATTTTCTATCTCTGTTCATATTCCTTTTTACAGAAGTATGCGAGAGTATACGTTCGCATGTATAAATACCCTTGTTTATTCGGTTGTGTACAATGTATCACAGTCCATACTTTAGGAAAAGTTTCTGAAAGTCCGCATAAAAATAAGTTTTAGCTTGAAGAGACGTAAGGCATAACTTTACCAATATTGTTTAAATGCAAATTTACATAAGTAGATTTGAGTCGCACAGTAAAAAATTGCATTTTTTTTTTTAAAAAAAAATGAAACAATCATTTTTCATTCCAGCGTTCTTCCATGAAAGAACAAAATATCATTCAGGATGCCTCAATTATTACTTACTGTTTAAGGATCATTCCATGAAGTAAGCATAATCAATTAATCACCCTTTTTGTAAAAACTTATGCATTCGTTAATAATAACTTTTTTTATAACATTGATGACGTACAGCATTGTAAAAGAAATGGGTTTGTGAATCAGAGAATTATTATTGTCTCTTCGATTTGTGGGTTCGACATACCAACTTTCAAAGGCTGTATGACAATTTGATACGTGGACGAGGTTACAGTTGATGAGAGGATATTTGCTGTTTTCTAACTCATCACGATACTTGAAGAATTTTTTATAAAGGTAAGTAAAATTTAGATCATTGTTTTAGCTTAATCAATATTTTACTTAACACAATATTTTACTGGTAAAATTGACACGTTATTGTAGTCTAAAGTTCGAAAACAAAATTATCCGTACTTTGGCAGCTTATGATTATATTGTGAAGGGTGTTCATTGTCGTCTAATAGGCATCGTATTGTATACCTAACAAGTGAGAGATATGTTAAATTCGAGTTCACTTTTTTTTTATTTACCTTTTATGGAATTTGAAAATTGAATCATTAAAATACACTTTAGATTAAAAAGAAATTTATATATATATATATTTTTTATAAGATCAAACATGAGGAAAATGGAAAAAGTTTATATTGACAAAATATAAACAAAAATATTTATTGAAAATTCGGTAATGTAATTAGCTAAATATTTATACAAAAATGGTAAAATACAAAAACTTGTGATATATTATTATTATTGATACTAGGAAAAAAAAAATATTTATAATGTTAATGGAAGATTTAATTGTTCTTGAGTTGGTCTATAAGCGGGTTCAAGAGTTGGTAATATTTTGATATGGTTTTGTATGCGAAGAGGTGAAAGAGTATGGTTTGTTCCATTATTGGTATTATTAATTAAATTTTCGAAGACCCATGATAGTGGGGGAAGGGTTGGGGGGCCATCTAAAATCGAAGATATTCTGGCAAAATAGTTGGATGATGAATCACGCGAGGACATTTTTCTGTTTTATGTAAAATAATTATTGAATAAATTTTATTTTTAAAGTTGCAATAAAAATACCGTATCTTACTGGACTTACATATTAGAATCTTATATGTGTTATTTGAGTAATAATTTTTTTTTTTTTTTGAGAATTTTTGAAATTTCTTGAAAAAAAACTAAAAAAATTGGAAAAATGACACCCCTTTTATATTGAACGCTAGCATTTTTCTTTAATATTGTTGCAATTAATAAAAGTATTCTGTTGGTTAATGATTTATATTTAACAATCCAAAGTCATGATTAAAATATATTTATAACAATAGTTTTTATTATTCTCAAAATCACGTGATTTAGATAAAAGACTGCCTTTATATGCTAGAGATTAATCCTACGAGCTAACTTTTTCAATCAAATAATATCATATGAATAAACAAACTCGAGATCAAATGACAATTTCTTGCGGCAAATTCGTGTTAATACCCTACAGGATATTTTTTTTAAACTATTATCTATAAATAAATAAATAATTTTCTTTTCAAAGTATTATAACTAGAAATAATTGGTGAATATATTTTTAATAATTATAAAAATAAAATATATTGTGACTCATCGATTTTAAGCGTATTGTTATGAACAAAGCTAAGATTATCAACTCTATTTAAATTGACAAAATTGGCTAATTTGTTTTTTCCACGTTTCAACATCTCTCGCACGCATTCCCGAAAGCGTTAAATCAATGTAAAATAGGATAAAACCGATCCTCAATTACATCATAGACCAAACCAAATTAAGATCTCATACGGTGAGAGCTCATATGAATTTTATCGATCAAATTTTTTTTTTTTTTTTTTTTTTTTTTTTTTTAAAAAAAAAATTCTTATCTACCAATACTGTATATACCAAATATCAAAGACGAACCTCTAATTTTTAATTTTGATTTTTTCTTTTCTTTTTTTATTTTGTAAAGTTATTATTATAATTATTTTTCTTTCTATTTTTTTTACGCTGGAAAGTTATTTATTATTTTTATTATTGTTATTTATTTATTTATTTTTTTTAAAAAAAAGGTGATACAAACTGACGCCACGGAACCATATTAATAGATGCAAATAAATGCAAATAATTAACAAAGTTAAAGTTATTGTATGTAATAATGTATGCAAACAGAGTAAATTAATTGTTGATTAGTATTTTTCCGAGATCGAAATTCTCTTGCCATAAAAGGGAAGGAAACGCATAAATTATTAGATTTAAACAATACTTAATTTATCCTTATGCTTGCTTACAAAAATGGTATAAACCAATTTCCTTCATGAAAATGTAAATATTTCTCTTATTTTACTTCCCTTTTTTTCTCTCAAAATTGAAAATCAATTATTCATAAAAATGTCACACCACGAAGTAGATGATTAGAAGATTGATATTTTAATATACGGTAGAGCTTGAAGGGCTTGAAGAGCTTGAATGGGCTGAATGTTAACTGATCGACGCACCTGTGTTCATAGAACGATCTAGATTGCTGGCTAAATAGTATACGCCGCATTTGATACCTTGAGCATTCCAAAAACTGTTAATGAAAATTTTAAGTGATTACATAATTAAATAAACAATAAATTTAAATTTAAATTTATTGACATTTAATAAACATTATAAAAATTTTTAATTGTAAAACGTTCATAATTTAACCATTTTAACGCGGCAGGTAGTAAGTGAGTAACGGAAATTGGCTAAGTAAGTAACGTAAAATTACTATTTTAGGTCAATTTACGTTACTCCCCTTATATAAAGCACGGAACGGTCGGAACGTAAAGTCAATTATATTTACTTTACGTTACTCTACAGAAAATAATATAAGGGTCACCTGGGAGATCATCGCCTGGGGTTTTTTTTTCAAGTATGTCACAATTGTCACATGATGCACAATATATAGAGTAAATTTATTAATCGGCTGATGGCTGATTGTTTATCTTAGCTAATTTTTGATCGGTTAAACTTAAATTTTATTGCGAAGATATTTTAAAAAATTTTTTTGCAAACATATTTAATTCAAAATAATCTTATTTAATGAAATTTTATTTTGCATATATTAAAATTTAAGTCACATTTTTGATTTTAAAGAAAAAAATTACCATATTTATTTTAATGAAGTGATACAAATAAAAAAACAATAACAATAAATAAAAAAGATAAGTAAATTATAATGATCAAGGAAAAAGATGCTAATAAAAAAATGAAATAACAATGGAGTAATGGAAAGTAATAGAAGATGAAAGGGAGTAAAAAAGAGCAATGAGAAGTGATAGGAAACAAAAAACATGATGGGAGATAAAAAGGAGTGATGGGAAGCGAAAAGAAGTGATGGGAGACGAAGAAGAATGATGGGAGATGAAAAGGAGTGATGTGAGACAAAGAGGAGTGATGGGATACGAAAAGAAGTGATGAGAGACAAAAAGAAATGATGGGAAGTAAACAGGAGAGAAAAAGAAATAATGGAAAATGAAAAGATGTAATAGAAATAAATAATGAGAAGTTATATGAGGTGAAAAATGATGAGAGACAAAAAATAAAAAAATGATCATTTTTTTTTTACTTTATGGTTTATTTTTTACTTGGTTTCCTATCATTACCCAACCTCCTATCATGAAGTTAGTAAGAAACGAAATATAAGATAAAAACGAAATAAAAAACAATAAATAAAAAATAAAAAATATACCTTTATTAATTTTAGAACTGAAAGAACTAAAATATCTAAAAAAAATGAAATAAAATTAGTGAAAAACGAAATATGAAACAGAAACAAAATAAAAAAATAAAAAAATGAGTAAGAAACGAAACGTAAAGTCAAAAACAACTAAAACAACTGAACCTTAATTGCAGAACCGGAAGGAACTGAGGAAATGAACCTATATTGAAAACGAGATTCGATAAACAAATAAACATGACGCGATCATGTGCAAATATAAGGAGTAACGTAAAGTATTTACCAAAAAAATTTACGTTCCGTACCTTATATAATAAGAAAAGTAACGTAATAGATCATGTGACTTTATGTTACTTACTTTCGTTACTTACTTTCTATATATTCATTTTAACGTGATTGTAATTATATTAAGTGGCGCAACAATTTGATAACTTTTTTCCTTTATTAAACACCTATAATCGAGATAAGGTTAGTATTTCTGTATAATTATAGTATTTTGAGACATATTGTATGTTATATACCGTATAGTTCCGTAAATAAGCAACTCACGAACTTCTGTAATAAAAAGTTAATAAATGTAATAAAGAAACATTTAATATTGCTAAAATCACTTAACACTTCAAAATGATGGACAATTTTATTAAGTATTATAAACATTAATTATGCAAATTGTTCCAAATTACAGTAACTCTTAACAACTATTTCTCTAATGGTGCTAATATGTCTTCTCTTTTTTTGTGGCATACTATGTAGTGAATTTTAACTGAAACATGAGAAACAAGAATGCGCGGCTGATTTATAGATCACAATATTGTACAGATCATATATTTGATCATTTAAATGCACAGTTTTCTTCAGATTTTTCGGATTTTTCAGATTTTTATTCAAAAAAAAAACTACCCCAAAATTAAGCAACTCTATAATAAAAAAGTTTGCTTAATTTCGGAACTATATGGTAATAAGCGTGAAATTATTTAAGAGCTTTTTTCTAATAAAATGATTTCACTATGCTATAACTTACTCCAATTTAAATGGGAGACTTTGTCTATATTGACATTCCTTTTCTATAATTGCACTTAACCACTTACAGGCTATAATTGTAATGGTCAATATGTGCTCAATACTTCAGAAATCATTTGACTGATCTGCAAATGTTCGCTTTTACTAATTTGGTATTGCTAAACATCGCCTGGAAGATCATCGCCTTTACCAGCATTAGGATGGCATTTTGGGTGGAGTTACATTCATATTCTTAATTCTACCTCAAGTTCCATCCTAACGCTGGTAAAGGCTATGATCGCCCAGGCGATGTTTAGTAATTTTCTAATTTGTTTTAAAATTTTATTATAATATATTCAATACAATCATAACTCGATATAATGATTCGGGATAAACTGATTTTGGCCCATAACGAACTTTTTATCACTATATACTGACCTTATTATAAATTTCGCGATATTACATATAATGAAGTTTAATATCATAAACCAGTCATACTTATTTATTCGCAATAAACTGATACCATCCTAATTCCAGCCGGAATTAACTTAGTCTCGGCCGGCACTATTCAACGCAGAAGACCACCTGACATCTCAGTAGCAATCTAAACTGCTAATAAGTTTTAATATTGCTATATGATTCATGAAACCATCGACTTACATTGAGGTATATGAAACCATTTGGCATGAACATTCACTTCATTGGAAGGAATTAAAAAAATCTAAAAATCTTACAAAAACATCTTTCATGATGTATCAGCGTAATAAACTGACTAGAAACACTCCTGATGCTTCAACTCTCTAAAGATATAATGATTTACAAAATTCCCTTGGCTATATAAACCATTTCAAAGATTCATGGCATGCAAGGGAAAACACTATTTTGTGGATCTATCTTACGAGTTCAAACTTCCTCCACAACCTACCTTGGCTATCATCATTGGACATAGACCTGTCTTCTGTTACTTTTAACCAGTCTCAAGACTCTTACAACTTAGATTTATTTTATTTCTAATATAACCCCTTTTGAGTTATTACAAGATATTCTTTTTCTCATTTGTTATTCTTAGGTCCTTTTCTTTCTCTAGTGCATTAAATTTTTTCAATAGCATAGACCCCCTGTTAAAATAGTTCCACTCAAAGGGTGAGATCCTGCTATGCGGGACAAAAGTTGGCATTCCAATTTCCCTATGTTTTCTTTCATGTACATATAACTGTTAATGTAATAGATATTGATCACCACTCTGAAATAAAATAAAAAAAAAATAAATTCATGAAACCATTACTAAAACAGTTTTAACATTTCTTTCCTTTTATTACATTATAGATGGACAAGCAAGTGAGAGTGGGGATACAAAATCAAATTTGGGATAAAGTAAATTGGTAGTATAGACGTATAGATGTTAAGGGATGGATCTCACTTAAATAGGAGAATGATAATTAATAATTATTTATTAATTTAGTAAAAAAAATAATTAATTTTATGGGCTTTGTAATTAATAAAAAAAAAAAAATTTCAGAATTTTTGTTCTTTAATAAATTTTTCTAATAAGTAAAAAAAAAACAGTATACAATAACTTTCCTGCTCCAAAAGAATATTTTACAAACTTGTGTAAGCGTTAAAAAGATTCAATGGAGAAATTTTATGTGATACAAAATTAAGCATTTTTATTGGTCATATTATTGGTTAAAAAAATCTTACCTAGTGTTACGCGATTTCTTGTGCACGTGATTTCTGATGTTGTATGATGATCCGGTGAAATTACATTTGTGTACTATGACGCGCCGTACTGATCAAAAATCCAGGGTAGCTACCCGGGATGTATCCAGGATTTACCCTGGATCATCAAACGCCGTACTGTTCAAAAATCCAGGATGACCCTGGATACATCCCGGGTGATCACCCTGGATGCATCCAGGATTTACCCTGGATAGATCCCGGGTAGCTACCCTGGATGCATCCAGGGTGATCACCCGGGATTTTTGAACATTTACCCTGGATGCAAATTTTACCCTGGATGATCATTGAATTTCTACACCAGTTGTTACATATTATCGGTCACGTGATATATCACATTTGTCGTTAAAACTTCAAATTGAAATATCTCAGCCAATAAGAATTCAATTTTTATGATATTATCACCCTTAAGCAAGATGAGGCCAATGAGATATAAATTATCAGTTTCTAATATACATTATTTTTATTATTAAAAAAAGGTAAAAAAAATTTCCATAAGATTTTGTTATATCTATTGGCATTAAAAAAAAATTGGAAAATTTTATTTATGATACAATATTTGTCTTATATATTATACAATCATTAGAAAAAAAATTTAAAAAAAGATCTATAGTGATCTATTAATATTATTAAAAAATAAATCAAAAAATTTTATTTATGCAATATCTGTCTTATGTATTATATCGACTGTTATCATTAGAAAATAAAAAAACTTTTAAAAAAATTCTGATTTTGTTATATCTATAGCGATCTATTGGAAAATTTTGTTTATACATGTATATCAATCTATTGTTACGATTAGAAAAAAATTTAAAAAAAAATTCTGAAAGATCTTTAATGAACTATTGGCATTATTAAAAAAAAAATTGGAAAATTTTATTTATACAATATTGTCTTACGTATTATACCTATTATTAGAAAAAAAAAATTTAAAAAAAAAATTCTGAAAGATCTATAGCGATCTATTGGCATTATTAAAAAAATAAATCAGAAAATTTTATTAGAAAAAAAATTTAGAAAAAATGTCTGAAAGATTTTGTTATATCTATTGACATTATTAGAAAATTTTATTTCCTTATTTATTATTATACGAATCTATTGTTATTAGAAAAAAAAATTTAGAAAAAATTTCTGAAATATTTTATTGTATCTATAACGATCTATTGGCGTTATTAAAAAAATGTTTCGCTATCTTTTTTATCAATAATAATATAAAAAAATGTTGTGAAACATTTTTATATTAAAATACTTAAACACTTAAAATTTTTTATATTATTATTGATAAAAAACGTTGCGAAACGTTTTTTTTTCTAAGTATAAACGTTTTTTTTAAAGTGTTTCAATATAAAAAAACGTTTCGCAACATTTTCTTATATTATTATTAATAAAAAATGTTGCAAAACGTTTTTTTAAGTGTTTTAATATAAAAAAACGTTTCTTAATATATTTTTATATTATTATTAATAAAAAATGTTGCAAAACATTTTTTTTAAGTGTTTTAATATAAAAAAACATCCTGCAACATTTTCTTACATTATTATTGATAAAAAACGTTGCGAAACGTTTTTTTCTAAGTATTTAATATAAAAAAATGTTTCGTAACATTTTTTATATTATTATTGATAAAAAACGTTGCAAAACGTTTTTTTCTAAGTGTTTTAATATAAAAAAATGTTTCGTAACATTTTTTATATTATTATTGATAAAAAACGTTGCGAAACGTTTTTTTCTAAGTGCTTTAATATAAAAAAATGTTTTGTACCATTTTTTTATATTATTATTGATAAAAAAACGTTGCAAAACGTTTTTTCTAAGTGTTTTAATATATAAAAAACATCTTGCAAATATTTTTTTATATTATTATTGATGAAAAGCGTTGTACAAAATATTGCTTGAGTTATCCTATAAACTAATAATTAGAAACCAATAATTTATATCTTATTGGCTTCATTTTTGCTTAGATGAATCTAATGGTGATATAAGAATGATGATATCACAAAAATTGAATCCTCATTGGCTAAGACGAGCAATGTGATATATCACGTGACAGATAATATGTAACGACTCGTGTAGAAATTCAATGATCATCCAGGGTAATGTTTGCATCCAGGGTAAATTTTCAAAATCCCGGGTGATCACCCTGGATGCATCCAGGGTAACTACCCGGGATCAATCCAGGGTAAATCCTGGATTTTTGAACAGTACGGCGTTTGTTAATCCAGGGTAAATCCTGGATACATCCCGGGTAGCTACCCTGGATGCATCCAGGGTGGCCACCCGGGATTTTTGAACAGTATGGCGCATTATAGTGTACATCCGATTTACGCCAATATACAGCTATTGATTTGTGTACACCAGCTTAATAACTTAGAAAGATATTGATTTTATTTGATTATATTTACATATGTAGTAGTAGTATAGTTATTTTTATTATTGTTTATATTATTTTATATTATTTATTTTCTTTATTTGTATTATTTATATGTATACAATTTTTATTAAAGTCATTGTAGGATAATTAGCTCAATAGTAATTAACCGATAGAATTTGTCATTTGTGTTCTATTAAAAAATGGCTTACATTAAAAAATATCACTATTGTAATCACATAGATATATTACGATGAAACACTGTCAATAGGATATCTATAGATTAGATGTCATTTGATAGAAAAAGAGATGGAGAAATAGATATAAATATACCTTCTGCCAACTCGTTGTTAACAAGGTTATATCAGATCATATTAAGATATATTGAAGTTATATTAAGTTATATTCCCTTAAGAAATATACCTCTATCACTTTTCATCACTTTTTATCATTTTGTTGTAAACTCATAACCCTATGTTAATCATTATACATCAGATAATTTTAACTTGTTGTTTCTGTATATTAATATATTTATTTATTACCTGTCATGTACTATCATTAATCGTATTTTGTAGTTGTTTACCTTGCTGATTCTTAAACAATACTGGAATACCAGGATAGGTAGTATTGAGTAAGAATCCTGTTGGTAATTGTGTGAATATACAATTAATATTTAATACTGACCCTTATTTACTGATATATTCAGTACCACTAGTAATATTTAATTATTTTTACTTAATAGAGTAATATATATTAATTATAAAATAAATAAAGTAATATATATCAATATGCAAATTTTATATAATCTTAATCTAATAAAATATTAATACTATAATAAATTCTAAATCTTATCATATGAATAATTAGTTATTATTTCTTCTACAGATCTCCATAAAATATGTCGAAAACCAATTACTAAAATAACAAATCCTTCTAATTTATTAGAATTTGATTTAGTTATTTTAATTCGTTTATCAAATATTCCTGAACTATAATAATCAATTGTTTTCCCTTTTGAAATGATATTCATATATGATTTTAATTGATTAACTCCATTATTTAATATATCTTCTATAGTTGTTTGTCTAGTTTCATTATGTTCTTTTGACCAGTATGTATATAATCTTTTTAATAGAACTTTTTCATCCTCTTTTTCAATAATTTTATCTAGGTTTTCCAGATCATTTGTATTAAACTTTTTTTTTTGATTTTTTATTAAACCAACTAATGAGATGTATTTCAATTCCAAACTAACATTATTATTTCCTATTCCCTTTAAAATAAAAATATCTGAATATCCAAATCGACCAAATCCTTTTGGTTTTGTACCATCCATTACTAGTGATAGTTCAGGAATACAATATTTTAATGGTAAAAGGCTTTCAACAATTGCCTGAAGAACAGGCTCATCTGCAGAAAATAAGTACATTTGTGATCTTGTTAATAGGAATGTTTTTAAAATTTCAATAAAAGGTATAATATTTCCAGAAACAAGATTTTCATATGCTGAAACAATAAGAGTAGCATCATTCACAACTTGCCTATATACTAATTTATCTTTATTTTGTTCTAAAATTTGAATTTGTTTTGTTATAAATCCTAATAAATAGTTAACAATATACAAAAAAATTAATAAATAAAATAAATGCAAAAAAATAGAATGAAAATATTATAATTTACCAGAAGAATCACTATTATTATCTCGTACTCTTTTTAATTTTCCTTTTTGTTTAACAAGTTCTAATAAATAGTTAACAATATACAAAAAAATTAATAAATAAATAAATGCAAAAAAATAGAATGAAAATATTATAATTTACCAGAAGAATCACTATTATTATCTCGTGCTCTTTTTAATTTTTCTTTTTGTTTAACTTGAGAAACAATTTTTTCAGTCCAAATCTTATTAAAAGTTCCAATGCTTCTCCTAAAGTATGCATTTCACTTCCTACATCATTATATATATAACAATTGCAAAATATGGGATGAATATCTTTTTCAAATTCTTCTGTATTTGTATATTGATCATGCTCTAATTTTAAAATTATAGTAAATAAATCCATTGGATTTTTTATAATCTTATTTGAAATTTCCTTTTCATCATATTTATAAAATGGATGGGTATTAGACTTTTTATCAAGTTCTTGAAGAATATTATAACAGAAATTAATGAGTTTAATGTTTTTATCTTTAACAGGAATTTTAATTATCCTTTTTGAATGGGATGCAATAGCAGTTACTTGATTTTCTTTTTCTTTTTCATATTCTTCTTGATGGGATGATACTTGATTTTCCTTTTCTTTTTATATTTCTTGATAATTTCTTGCCAAAATGTTTGCAATTTTGTTGAATAACGCAATTGTTCTGTAATTATCTGTTATAAACAAAGATTATTAGTAGTGCGTTAAAAATTTTTTATTTAGTTTTATTAGTGATAAAGAAGGTACATAGCCAGTTCCTCCTCCAGAACAAGCAGACTTTATCACAGCAAAGTTAGTACACCTGAACTGAGAGCCTTGGGTCGGCGATTAGCTACCAAGGATGTCAAATCCAGTTTCCACCCTTCACCAAATAAAACAACAAAGTTAAGGCACCTGAATCTAAGAGCCTTGGATTGGTTACCAAAGATGTCCTCCCTTTGCAAAATAAAAAAAACTGAATGCACCTTATCTTTAAAACCAGGGATAATTTTTCCTTCATTTATAAAATGAGCAATCCAAGTATTATTAAGTTCATTCCAATCATCTGAAAACATTGTATTATCTGAGAAAATTGAAGTAACAATGATTTTATGGTAATTGTTTAAAAATCCCCAATATGATGCTTTATTTTTCTGCTTTCTAATATAAGAAATAATGGCTAGAAAAATTAGTTATTAATAATATGATAATCTAAAATATAATTTCTCAGACTTACCATTTTGACCAAAATAGCTCTCAAATGTGCTCATATTAATTCAAAGTAAATGATAATTAATTTTTTAATTTAGATAATTGATTTATTTTTAATTTAGTAAATTTTGTAAATTTACTAATTGTGATTTAGAATTGAATGAGTTGGTGATGGGAAAAGAGTCTTAAATAAAAAAAATCTCTTGTATATAATATGACTTGGATTGACATATTGAAATATCTAAGTGAAAATAGTTGAATCTATTTTTTGTCACATTGATAAATACTGATAAATAATTGAATCATGTTGCCAAATATGGCAAAATATAATTTTTGAGTTTTATTTTAATTTATATTTGTTTAGCAAGTGAGTCAACTTTCATAAGTTTGACTCGTTTGATATATACATATTTAAAATATTTATGGTTGATCTAGTTATTCTAGTACATGTAATAATTGCAATATATATGTATGATATGAATACTATTATTAAGATAATTTCCAGAATGTTCCTTGAAGGCTAGTCATCTCGTAATTTACTTTTTTACTATTAATCATGGCTACATAATGCATATGTAAATATAAATCAATTTTATTGTATCAAAACTTTTTTTGATAAAACTTAATGTTTAATAAAATAATTATTAGCTTCTTATATACAAATATTTCATACTCATGAAGACAAGTTGCTTTTTATGTATATTATATGTATTATATGCATTTTATTTCTTTAAATTTATTAATAAAAGTTAGATTTTTAGTTTCACATAAAAAAAAAGAAAATTTTCTTGTTAAAACGAAACATCTTTAGCATTACCTTTTAATCCAATTATTATTGTTTTGAATGAAAAGTTTTTAGTCAAAGCTGCTGCTTTTCAAACTGAAAAAGTCTTTAACATGTAGATCATCTATAACAAATAAAATATTCTCTTAATCTCTTTATTTTTCATTCAGATGCTAAATCGGATTTGGAAAAAATATGATCAAAATTTCGATATAATATAATGAATTCCAAAATCAATCAAATAAATAAAAAAATTCCAACTAAATATTATGAAAAAACTATATAAAATAAAATAATATAAAATAGTATAATATAATAAAAATAATAAAAAAAATAACTAATTCTATACATATTAACTGTTAATGAAAATCGTTTCATTAGACACAAAATGATCTACCAGTTACTGGGACTTCGTAACACAATTGTTGATCATTTTGGTTTAATTATTCATATCAGATATCGGCTGATTGGAAAAATCAAGCCAATTAATATTTAAGCTCAGTTGATGGGTTCATTATCACAAGTCGAATTAATAAAAATAGTCTTAACCTGTTTGCAAATATTCCGGGCGATTTTTGGTTATATTCGTCCGATTTGTGGATATTTAAAGGCGATTTTATGGCGCGAATTGACACCAATCGGAATTCCTTTTTTCCGTATGAATCGGTATGACGATTTGTGAATTGTATATGACAATTTATGGTCAATATCAAAATAGTAAATGACGATTTGTGATTGATTTGTGAATTGTATATAACAATTTTACGGCCAATATCAAAATAGTAAATGACGATTTGTGAATTGTATATGACAATTTACGGTCAATATCAAAATAGTAAATGCAAATCATATGTCGATTTTAGAATATTGTTAGCTGATTTATCTGAATTTATGAACAATATATTTAATATTAATTGTAATGATATATATATATATATATTATTTATTAATTATATATGTGTATATTATAATAATATATATTATTTATTTAATGTGAATTTATTTATTAATCATCACGATTATGTTCATCATCATTAATGATGTCATTATTAACATCGTCGTCGTCGTCGTCGGATTCTGATGATGGGACCCAGGCGGAAGAGATCCACCATCTTGGCATTTTATCGTTCGGTTTGCTTTTATTGTCAATATAAGCATCGGAACGGTGACGAACACGAGTTAGTCCTGTTCCGGTTCCTATACCAATTTCATCGGCTCGATATAAAATCTCTTTAATCTAATAAATTATTATTGTAATACATAAAGGCTATATATTATTATATAAAGGTTATGTTTTTAAAATAATTCTAAAACTTTACTTACTCTAGTCGATCTCCATTCCTTGTTATAGATTTTGATCACTGAATTCGTACTTAGTATATTTTCAGGTCTTAGTCTATGATCTCTCTCTTCTTGCGCAATATCTTCGTCATTCGACGAACATTCGTCTGAATGTAGTTCAGGAGTGTTTATAGCCGTTTCACAATCTCTTATAAATTCGCTCCAAGAAATATCACCCGAAGGGTGACAATCGGTCAACAATTTATCTTTTGTTGAGACCATATGCAGCAGTCCTTTCCGACGCCTCCCTAATTTCTATTAAAAAGAATAAAAAGTTAATAATTTGTGTACATTTTTATTTTAGGTAATAAATTTCATACCTGATCTCTTCTTGATGCAATATGTTGTTTTCTGTTATGTTTCTCAATTCGTCCGTCTTCCTGTCTTAATCTCCAAATCTCTCGCCGGCTCTTATGTAATTGCTTGATTACTTTCATTATCTCTGTATCGTAAGCTTTCAGAGATGGGTTCATGGCGGACTTAATCGCTGGTAGAAGTCTTTTGTTCAACGTTTTCTTTTGACTTCCGAAAGTTTTCGAAAGATCGAAGTGCAAGTTAGTATTCAAACTATTGTATATTTGAACAACTTCATCCTATTTAAATACAACGAAACAATGTCAGTTGCTAAGATTAGATTAAAGATAGAATTCATAATGTATAGTCACGTGAAGTGTTTTTCTGAAACTGTTTGACATTGGAGATAATTTTCTATTTCTTCTTCTTTTTAAGACGGGTGATGACACGTCTTCACTGGATCGATTTGGAATCCCAGACGATTGGATATTGGATAATAGGGTTGGGAAGGTTGGAAAGGTTGATTGGAGTTGCTGCGACAGCGCATTTAAGAATTCTTGAATCCCTGGTTGTTGCGGTTGTTGCTCTTGTTGTCCAAGATTTCCTATTATAAATTAATGAACATAATGAACATGATGAAAAAAATCTCTTAGAATTCTACTATATTACTTCTCATCACCGAGGGAGAGCGGGAGTGACGTGAGGTACGATTCAAATTCGATTCATCTCCTATTAATATTATAAAGTTAATAATTAGATTATATAAAGTTAATAATTAGATTAAATATAATTTTAACCAGAAAATATTTATTATTACCTCTTGTCAATGGTCTCCCTCTTATTGAGGGGGAGCTAGAATGAGATCGATAATATTGGGACCGACTTCGAGAACGATATCGTTGGGAGTTTCGTCTCTGAGATTGACCTCGAGAACGAGATCGATATTGGCGAGAGTCTCGCGTATGAGAACGACGAGAGTCTTGCGTATGAGAACGACGAGAGTCTTGCGTATGAGAACGACGAGAGTCTTGCGTATGAGAACGACGAGAGTCTCGCGTATGAGAACGACGAGAGTCTCGCGTATGAGAACGACGAGAGTCTCGCGTACGAGAATGACGAGAGTCTCGCGTATGAGAATGACGAGAGTCTCGCGTACGAGAACGACGAGAGTCTCGCGTATGAGAACGACGAGAGTTTTGTGATTGAGAACGTTGAGAACGAAGGGAGTCTTGTGATTGAGAACGTTGAGAACGAAGGGAGTCTTGTGATTGAGAACGTTGAGAATCTCGAGAGCGAGAAGAATTACTACTACGTATAATTTAATTGGTTTCAATGTTGAATGGTATAATAGAATATTGAACAAAAAATATAATATGGTAACCACTTACTTCCTTTGAGACATTATTTTTGATGATAAATTTACGTCCGTCTTAAAATGAGACCACGAAACTTACTTGCGAGACACACGTATTGCAAGACACACGTACACGTACATGGACATATTAATATTTATAACAATTCTAACCATTTTGCGGCGTGCCATCGTTTGTGTCAGCACGCAGAATTGTATTTTTGAAATGTGAAAGTATAATAACTAATAAAGGAGGCACTCGGCTTATATAATAAAATAATTGATTTTGTTTGTTCACGTGGTAATCGTATACTTGTGCTTTCCTCATATAGTAATATTAGTCGAAATCATTTAGACCAATCAAAAAACTCCGGCACATTTAATAATCACGATTAAGAAAAGTTCGAACGAACTTTTCTTCCTTATCGTTGAAGATCTTTAATCACAAGACTTTGAGAATTAAGAAAAGTTCGAATGAACTTTTCTTCCTTATCCAGTAATATTAGTCGAAATCATTTAGACCAATCAAAAAACTCCGGCACATTTAATAATCACGATTAAGAAAAGTTCGAACGAACTTTTCTTCCTTATCGTATTTTAGGATCTCCCTATTGATAGCCATAATATCGGAGACTGTGCAGCCGAAGATTGTTGCTAACTTTTCTGCTGAATAATAATGCAAAAAATCTATTATGAAAAAAAAAAAAAATTTTTTTTTTTCCTTTGATATTGATTGCATATAACCCCTTATTTATTAATAATCACATTGAATGGTTTAAACGTGGCAAACATTATGATTTGGATGGGCGACATGAATTTAAAATACAATGTTGTATTAAATAAAATAATGTAAATAACGCCAATCCAAATACGGCAAAGCCCGTAATTTTATTTTACTGCGCCACACAATAATTTAATCATTCGACACATTGTTGTTTTGTTTGTGTATTTGGGCGCAAAATTTTATATGTATTATTATTTTGTGTTCATTATTTTTTTTTTGTGATCAGGCGGGGCAAAAGATATACAAGGATAAAAAAAATACAAATACCGATTTGATTAAATAACTACTCATCGATGTTTTGTCTACAATCATATTTTTCCGTTTTATACCGTCAATCAATTTTTATTAATTTTCTTCATTTACAAATATAAAAAAAAAACATTGACGCATAAATATTGATGCGTTACCGTTTAAATATATTCGGTAACAAATAAATTTTTTTTAAAGGGCTTGTCCTACTTTTTGATGGCAAATAGAGAATTTCATTTAAAGTTAAACGCCCAATCTGATACATTAAGGGGCTAAGCCCCAACAAAAACAAAAATGTCATTAGAAAAAAATGTCATGCTTATAAAATGAATTTTATTGGATAATTTTGGTACATCATTATCTTTTCAAAACAATAAAGTAAATGAACAATAGTTAATTTCATTCATTATTCTTTTTAATTTTTTTTTTTTTTTTTTTTTTTTTTTTCTT